TTCTGTCCAAGTGTTGATATAATATTGGATTTCCCTCATTACACAACCCACTTATTCATTCTTTTACTTTAAGCTACTATTCTTCTTTCCACTTATATCCACATTTTTTCCACCTTTGGAAGGAACATTTGCCTAAGCACACTGCGGTGTTCTGGATTTCAGGCATCAATGCTAATCATTTTGTTTGTTTCATTTTTGCTTTTTGGTTGTGTGTTTTTGGGGTTTTTCTTGGTTTTGTTTTTGTTTGTTGTTGTTGTTTGGGTTTTTTTTATTGTTTTGTTTGTTTGTTTGCTTGCTTGTTTCTTGTATCAGGGATTAAATCTGGGAGGCATTTAACCACTGAGCCACATTCCAAGACCTATTTATGTTTTATTTTGAGACAGGCATGTAATCTGGCTATCAGTGCTAATGTAATGGGGTTCAGATCATGGTTCTCTAAAGTATAGTACCATGGCATTTGAGAAAACAGTAGAAGCAAGAAGGTCACCAACACCTTCCTCTTGCTCTGTTCTCCTGAAGCAGGCATAAATCACAGAAAGAATTATTTTAGTCCAATTTTTTGCTATTATAACAGAATATTACAGATTGAGTAATTTATAAATATGTGCGCACGTGTGTGTGTGTGTGTGTGTGTGTGTGTGTGTGCATGTGTGTGTTTTCCCCCTCACAATTTTGGAGGCTAGAAAGTGCAACATGAAAGGCCCTATCCAGAGGCAGTCTTCTTGCTACTCCTGCATGGTGAAAAGTATCACATGGTGAGGAACTGTGCACAGAGACAGGGAGAACAGAGACATGAAATCAGGCTGAATTCATCAGGAACTCATTTAAGATAAGAGCATTAATCTTACTCATGAAGAAATCTGTCCTCATGACCTAATCACATCTTAAAGGTCCCGCCTTTTGATACCATCAAAGTAGCAAATTTCAACATGAGTTTTGAAAGGGACACTAAAACCATAGCACAATCCTAGACTGAAGCTCAAGACAAAATTTGTGAGTACCTCCCAACAATGAATACTTAGATGTTGGACTAGATAATTTCCAACTGAGAGAAGGAGGTGCCCAGCACTGACCTAATCAACTCCAAGTTAACTGCAGTTAACTTAGAATCCAAGTTAGAATCCAACTACAGTTAACTTGGATTCTAGCAATCACAGGTCTGATTGATAAGTATATTTATGATGTGGGACCAAAACTACCCTACAGCAGTTATCCTCACAGAACAGATCTCCCCATGATGAGACTATTCCTCTAAGACAGAACTGAGGCTAGCTCCTAAAGCAGTAGCAATCAACTTACGATGGAAACTGAATTGCCCCCTTGAGTGATGATGACCTTCCCAGAGGTTTAGTCCTGAGATATTGATCAATCAGACTATAGTCTGATCAGAATGAGTTACTCTGCCAGTCCAAGTAAACCTCCCAGCCATACAAACCCCCAGACCTTGCCTTTGTTTTCATTTTCTATGAAACCTCAGTTTCTGTGAGCCCCTTGAAGATAGATCTTTGTCCCTGTATTGCCATCTGTTCTTCCTGGTGTGGCCACACTGATTAAAACTTTACCACTGGTTATCTTTGATTAGCAAACTGGAGTGGGTGGGCAAGACTGATCTGTTGGAACCACTAGAGCCAGGGATTTTGTTCTAGGATTGTTACAGTTCAGATATAAGGTGTCTTCCAAAAACATATGTGTGGGACAATGCAAGGATATTCAGAGGTAAAATAATTAGGTTATGAGAAGTCTAACCTAACCAATAGCATTAATCAACTGTATGGATTAAATATGTAACTATAGGCAGGTGAGTGGGGCTGGAGGAGACAGGTCACTGGGGGCATGCCTCTGAGGTTTATATTTTGTCCCTCATGAGTAGAGCTCTCTCTACTTCCTGATTGTCTTATCCTGAACTGCTTTCCTCCTCTGTTCTGTCTCATCTTGGGCCCAGAGTAATGAACTCAGTTGTCTATAGACTAAGACCTCTGAAATTGTGAGCCCCAAACGAACTTTTCCTTCTCTCTGTTTTTCTTATCGGATCTTTTTGTCACAGTGGGAAAAAAAAAAACTAACTAAAATGAGGACTCTGGTAACAGTAGTAACAGCTTGCTATCAGATATTAATTTAAATTATCCCTAATGGCTGAAGGAGACAAAATATCAAAACCCAAAATACTCACACTTGGGTGGTATGAGAGAATCACTCTAATAGAGGATGGTGTCCAGAACAGTGTCATAATAAAGTACAAATGGCTTACTCAGAAACATGTGAAGAAAAGATACTCATGACATGCAGAAAGCCTCTTTTCCCTTAGACTGACTCTGGAACCCCTTTGTTCCAACCTTATTGACGTCTGTTTATTCACCCCATTTATTTTTTTCTAATTTTAAATAATTCTTTCTTTATTGCAGTGCTGGAGATTGAATTCAGAGCCTTGTGCATATTAGGCAAGTGTGCTGCTGCTGAGCTACACCTCCAGACTAGCATCTCATTTCTTAATAACCATCTAAGCATTTTCACCCTACTGGTATATCTACATTCTCTCTTCTGGTTTTCCCCATTTTCTTGATAATTAATTTAATGTTTTTATCTGTAAGACCCATGAAGGGAAGATAAGACAGCCAATTTGATAAGGCTTTTCAGGATATTACTCAGTTTTGATCTTTGGTTGATTTTGTGACCCATTATTTCAAGTTTAATGGTTGTTTTTGTTTTCGTTTGATACTGGATGTTAAACTCGGGGGTGCCTTACCATTGAGCTACATCCCCAGTCCTTTTTTATTTTTTGAGACAGGGTTTTGCTAAGTTGCTTGAGGTCTCACTAAGTTGCTGTGGCTGGGTTTTGAAATTCTGATCCTCCTGAACTCAGTCTCCTCAGTTGCTGAGATTACAGGAGTGTACCACCACAACACCCAGCACCACACCCAGCTGGTAGGTTGTTTTTTTCTTTAGTTGTAGTTCTTTATGTATATTTTAGATATTAATCTCTTATCAGATATATGATTTTCAAATATTTTATCTTATTCTATGGGTTGACTTTCTCTCTCTCTCTCTCTCTCTCTCTCTCTCTCTCTCTCTCTCTCTCTCTCTCTCACTACTGGGGAGATTTAACAGGTACTCCTTAACACTGATCTACACCTCCAGCCCTTTTTATTTATTTATTTTAATTAATATTTTTGTGTGATGCTAGGAATTGAACCCAGGGCCTTGTACATGCAAAGCAAGCACTCTATCAACTAAGCTATATCCTTAGCCCCCTGTTTATTTTTGTTTTGATACAGGGTTTCTCTAAGTTGCCTTGGCTGGCCTCCAAACTTGCAAGCCCCCTGCCTTAGCCTCCCAAGTCACTAAGACCACAGGCATGTGTAACATCTCACTCCCTCCATAGTATACTTTGATATACAAAAGATTTCCATTTTGTTGATGAACTCCTTGTCCATTTCTTCTTTCATCATCTATGCCATTGATATCATATTCAAGAAGTCATTGCCAAATCCAATGTCATGGAGATTTTTTTTTTAAGAGAGAGAGAGAGGGAGAGAATTTTAACATTTTATTTTTTAGTTTTGGTGGACACAACATCTTTGTTTGTATGTAGTGTTGAGGATCGAACCCGGGCTGCACGCATGCGAGGCGAGCACGCTACTGCTTGAGCCACATCCCCAGCCCATGGAGATTTTTTTCCCTATATTTTCTTCTAAGAACTTTGCAATTTTAGCTCTTGCATGTAGATCTTTGATCTACTTTGAGCTATTGTATACAATGTAAGGTAAAGATCTAACTTTTTTTTTTTTAACATTTGTTGAAAAGACTATCCTTTCCCCCATTGAATGGTCTTGGTACTCTTGTCAAAGATCTTTTAACTATGTACACTGGTAATTCCAGCAAGTAGGGAAGCTGGGGCAAGAGGATCACAATTTTGAGGCCACCTAGGCAATTTAGTGAGACCCTGTCCCAAAATTTTAAAAAATTAAAAAGGCTCTAGGATCTAGCTCAATGGTAGAGCGCTGCCTAGTATGTGCAAGGCCTTGAGTTCAATCCCCAGTACTGAAAAAACAAAAACATCATTTTACCATATTTTGGGGGACTTATTCCATACCTTGTAATAGGTTTTATTTTATTTTTTAATCCTTTAAAACATTAGTGCCCACGAAACACAAATGTAGAAAAATATTTTTTTTCTATCAACTGTGATTCTGTTGAAACAGAGGCACAAAATTTAATTTTATGGAATATATAACCACTCAGTGTTACTCAGCTAAACATGGCTGTAGCACAACAAACCCCAGAAATGTGCAATACTAATTCAACCCAGTAGTCCTATATTTTGCCAGGTTTCAGTCATTAAAAAAACATAATTTTCGTATCTATATATATAAACATGGGTGTGTAAAATATATTTTTCAAGCCCGGGTCTTCCCACCCACTTTAATATTTAATCAAATGAGCCAGCACAGTATGATCATGCTTATCAAACCAGCAAGCAAATAAACCGAAGAACCACACCAAACATACGGACAACTCCATATGAAATCATTGGAACATTCTAGAACCAACAATCCCAGAAATGGCTGTTAGTATTCTAGGAGTTTCAATAGGTGAAGGGCAGTGTAATGCAGTTTGAAAACTACAAAGGTGTGCTATTATAATGCTGCTAAGAAATTCTTATTCTTGTAACCATCATTTCTCTTGACCCTGTCGACATTGTTCATTTTCATGATTTTGCATATATTCCACGTGTCGCTCTGCAGCACCTGGCCCCTGAAACCTGCTCCCGCTCTCTGCAGGGGTATCCCTGCAGAGCCCACAGCTGCGCGAGGTTGACAGTATAAACCAAGGAAGCACCCCGCAACAGCCGCCTCGCCAACAGGGGGCGCGCCTCCCTCCGCAGAATGCAGGGAAGCCCTAGCCCGGGCTCCCGGCCCCGCCTCCACTTCAGCCCCGCCCTCGCCGCCGAGCCGCGTCCGGGTCCGCGCCCCGCCCCCCGCGCGGGTCGTCTCGGTAGCGCTGCGACGGCGGCGGCGGTATGGAGGGCGAGAGCACGTCGGCGGTGCTCTCCGGCTTTGTGCTCGGCGCGCTCTCCTTCCAGCACCTCAACACCGACTCGGACACGGTGAGCCGGGCGCGCAGCCTCCCTCCCTCACCGCGCCGCGGCCGATCCCCGCCCGGGGACTCTCCCTACGCCGCCGGGCCGCCTCTTCCCTCGCGGTCCAGGAGGTGCCTCCTGCCCGACGAGCCTTTCCCAAGAGTAGCCCTCCCAGGCCTAACCCCTGCTCCCCTTCCCCGGCCCGAATGCCCCACACGCCCCAGTCTCATTCATCGGTCTCCCTTTTTCCTGGCCAAACTTGGGCGCGAACGGATAGAAAGTTCATCTCGTGCTCCGCTACCGCTGGGGAGGCAGCAGGTTAACTTTCCGTTTCGCCCGACTACCCGTGATCGATTGCAATGACAACCGTGGACTTTTTCATGCCGGGCAGCTCCTATGGTAGGAAGGTGAAGGAGTAAATATAGGTGTTGCATCCAGTGTCTGTTTTTCGGCAAATCCTAGTGAATGAAAAAAAACCCTTAATTTGATGTATCAGATACCTGATTTGTTTGCACGTGCCATCAAGTTTCTTAAAATTATAAGGCTTCTATTTACTTTTCTGATACTTTTGGTTATAACTTAACCACAAATTTCCCCCAAATATTAAACATTTAAACGTTTTGCCTAGCTTCAAAACCACTGGATGAAATTAAAAAGCGAAGTTTTTAAAAATATAGTGCCTATTTTCTAAAAATTTATTAAATGAACAAGTCACAGTAAAATTCTTGTAAATTACGGTACCTTCTTGTCAGCGGTTTCTCAGATCTTTTAACTAAATTCTTTAAATGGTGGTTTTTAAAAGATAGACTTAAATTATCCTTGCTGCACGTTTCTTAGTTTTTGTTTCTGAAGTACCAAAGTCAAAACACTGGAGTGTACAGTTCTGGTTTTTTTTCACCTTGATTCAAGTGAAAACATTGTAGAAACATTCCTTTAGCGCTTTTTATCCTTTGATGAAATGGGGGGGGGGTATTATTATTATTACGTATTATTAACCAGTTTTTAAAAAGGTGAAATTTCATTACCAAGCACACTAGGTCTATTTTTGGTACTGGGGTTTCAACTGAGGGGTGGTTTACTACTGTGCAACATCCCCTAGCCCTTTTTATTTTTTGAGAGGGTGTCTCAAGTTAAGTTGCTGAGGCTGACCTGAATTTAAGATTCTCTTACCTTACCCTCCAGAGCTGCTGGGTCACTCTGCCTGGCCACACTTGGTCTTTAAATGCACCTAAAGGAATATCCGAATACTCTGAACCAGGACAAATTCACTGCTGTGAGGATATACCTGTAGTTTCACAACAAATCAGGCCTACAGGACCCCTTTTAGAAAGCAGACTCAAATTGAATTCCAAAATCTTTAATCTTTCATATTTTGTACACTCTTCCCCATTTTGTACAATTTTAAATCTGAAAACACTTTGATTGTGTCATAGTTTAGAAACCTCCACTGACTCCTAGAAGCATTTGTTAAATCCAGAATCCCTGGCTAGTCATAGGGGATGTTTTATTATTGGCTCCACTTAAGTTTGCCTTTGTTTCAAGGCAAACTGTTCTACTAGTGTGTGCTTATTTTTGGCTTTAAGCCTTTTATGCTTTCAGGTGTGCTAAGTGCTTCAAGCTCTGCCTACACAAATTATCAACTTCATTCTCACCTCTTCCACTGGGCCTTCTCCAGTTATTTTCGTCTATGTTAATCTCTTTCCCCTTTATAAAATCACAGTGCTGTTTATAATCTCTTCTCATTTTTTTCTTCTAATTCTTATTTAACTGGTCATGTTTTCCAATTAAACTGGAAGCACCTTAGGTTTTTATGTGTCCCCTAGTAGCACACACATGTATACACTGTAAAATACTGGGAAATATGAATTATTTAAGAGACTGGACTGTAATTCTATCAATGTATTCCAAATTCTGCTTCTTTTTCTTTTATAGGAAGGTTTTCTCCTTGGGGAAGTGAAAGGTGAAGCCAAGAATAGCATTACTGACTCCCAAATGGATGATGTTGAAGTTGTTTATACAATTGGTGAGTTACATACTTCTATTTTTGATAGTTTATGATGAAAGGGATCAGCATAAGTTATTACTTTTAAATTGTTAAAAAAAATACACTGATTTTTAAAAGCAGAATTTTTAAAATACATTGCACTCATTTTCAATTAAAATTATGGCCATGGACTGAAACAATGTGAAATATAGGAAGCAAATAAAATTGCTGCAGGGAAACTAAGAGGAAACAGCTGCTGTTTCTTAAAGGAAAAAAAAAGATAAGGTAGCTTTAAAATATATAGGAAGTCTTCTGATTACCTAACATATACAGTTTTTAATAAGGAGATGTGTGTGGGTGTGTGTGTGTGTACATTTTTTTCTTTTACTAAGTTACTTAGTTAGGGCCTCCATGAGTTGCTAAGGCTGGCTTTGAACTTGTGATCATCTTGCGTCAGCCTCCTGAGCTGCTAGGATTACAGGCATGTGCCACTGTGCCTAGTAGGATATATATTTCTTTTTTTAAAACAAAATAGTATTGTACTTTATAACAGGTTTGACATCATTACACATTTTGTCATGACTGATATCTCTATAATATCATTTTTCATAACTGCAATATATTCCACTATGACCTTTCTGTGATTTAAGCAGAACTTTAAATAAATTATAATCAGCTATTTCCATTTTTTATTATAGATTACACTACAATGAATATTCTTGTACATAAACATTTGACTTTATTATCAATTCCTAGATATTATTATGCTGTTACAGGGTAAAAAACTTTTTTTTTTTTTTTTAATGGCATGAGGATTTTGCTCTGGTGCCTAGGCTGGCCTCAACTTACTGGACTCTAGTCATCCTCCTACTTCAACTGGGACTGCTTGGCAAGCTGATATAATTTGCCTTGTATATAACTTTTCATTCTTCCTAATGGTTATAACTATCCCATTGTGTGGACACAGCATAACTTTTAACTACTATGAATAAGTTTCTGTTTATTAATACAATATTACAGTGAATATTTTATATATCTTTGTGCCCTTGTCTCTCTGAAAACCAAATTCATATAGGTAGACTAGCTAATAGTACTTTGGAAAATTTACTGCATTTTAGACTCCTCCGCAGTCTATAATGCCTGTGTCTCCATATTCAGGCCAACATGAAATATAATTATAAGTTCTTTTAATCTTTGCCAATTTGATAAATTTTTTTTTTTAGAGTTAAGGTACTTTTTTTAGAAATATTTTTTAGTTGTCAATGGAACTTTATTTTGTTTATTTATATGTGATGCTGAGAATCAAACCTAGTGCCTTACACATTCTAGGCAAGCGCTCTACTACTGAGCCATAACTCCAGCCCCAATCTGATAAATTTTTTAAAAAGTAGTTTGCTTTTTTTTTTTTTTTTTTTTTGGTGTTGCTGGACATAGAACACAAAACCTAGAGCGCTGAGCTACTGTTAATTTGTATTTCTTGAGTACAAAAGAAGTTAAATATTCCTGGTTTTTACTTTTTTTTTTTTTTTTTTTTTTTAGCCTTTGAAAAGCACAGACCTGTTCTATTCTTTGACTCTATTTCTACTGGCTATGTTACTTTAATTGATTTGTATAACATTTTAATAATGGCCTTTTGTCATGTGCTATACACATGTTTATACAGGTTGTTATTTTGTTTGGTTTGGTGCTGGGGATTGAACCTTAGGCATACTAAGTATACACTTCCCACTGAGCTACACCACCAGCCCAAGCAGTCTGTAATTTAACTTTGTTGAATTTTTTATTTTTGCTAGTCAGACACTTGGAGCTTTAAAAGCAAGATTTAGAGCATTTTTCCCCTAACTGGAATTAGCATGCCACCCAAAGAATCTAACACATTTAGAAAAATTTAATTAAGCAAACATTTCTTGACCAACTACACTGTGTACACAGGTACTTTGCTAAGCTTTAAGGTATTTGGTCAAATTATTTTAAAAGATTACTTTAACACAGATGGAGAATAGATGAAAATCCAAGATAGACAAATTACTGCCTCACACTGGTCATAAGATGTTCATCATTTTTACACTTTTCTTTCTTAGTTTAACATTGCTATTGACAGAATAAAATTTGCCTCTTAAAAGATATTAGCATATGTTTTTGTTTTCTTTAGTTTGTAGCTAACACAGACAAAAGTTTTATGAAATAACTACTTAAAACAAGATATTTCTATTTGACAGATATTTCTAACAGTTGGGTAAATTTAGAGCATAACCTTTTTAGTACACAATGAAAATATTGCAATTTTCAACTTATATTTTGTACTGTATTTATTAAATCATCATTTGAGGGAATATGGCATTGTGGTTCCCAGGGAAACTCTAGGTTTGAATTTTGGCTCTATCACTGGCTTGGGGAACCACTTCATCTCTCTCTTTCTTTTTTTTTGGTCCTGGGGATTGAACCTAGGAGTGGTAAAACCTAGTTTTACCACTATACCTCCCCAGTTCCACCCCCACTTTTTAATTTTGAGACAATATGTCAATAAGTTGCTGAGGCTGGTTGATTTGCAATCCTCTTACCTCAGCCTCCACAGTTGCTGGGAATACAGGTGTGCACCACCATGCTCAGCCTATTCCATCATTTTTGAAAGGGAAAGAATGATGGCATCTGAGTTGTGAAGATTAAATGAGATAATACTAAAGTACTTCCTGGCATGAAGTAAATGCTTGGAAGTGATTATTTAATTAATCATAACCAAAAATTCGGTATAATTGTGCTAAGAGTATCATATCTTGCTGAGTTTCAGTCCAAGTATTAATGTAATTTGGATTTCCCTCATTATACAACCCATTTATTCATCCCTTTTTCCCCCTAGACATTCAGAAATATATTCCATGCTACCGGCTTTTTAGGTGAGTAATAGTACTAGTAAGAGCAAGTAAACCATACATGCGAAAGTTAATTCTCTGCAAGTGAAATAAGTTTTAAAACTAATGTAGTATTTTAGTTACCAATTATACTATGAAGGTTTTGTTGCTGTTGTGTTAATACCTGAAAATTCACTTGTGCATTGTCAACCCTGTTTATAGTTCTTTCTCTATTATATTACTGACTTTAGCTGGTCTCTGCTGCCTCTTGCAAGTACCAGTTTACCTTGACAATTGCTTTTCCATCTCACAACCAGTCACCTTTTTGCAACTTCATTGCATATTATAAGCTCACTCACTGGCATGTTCTTGTAAATTGATGGCAGACTTTCTTTTTAACCCTTTGATTCTAGTTAATTTTAGCAACTGTTTCCTCATTGATATTTTTTAGTGTTATATTATTTATCTAACCTGTTTCCTGTTGCTTTAGGGTGAAAGCTTGTGCTTTTAGTCCTACAGATAATAATAGAACCATTAACTCTAATATACTGTATTTTTTTTAAAAAAAACTTGTATAATTTTCACGGAAAAATAGAAAATAAATGAACTTTCACAAAGAAAACACATGTAACCATAATTTTAATGTAGTAGCTTTATGATTTACTTAAACTACATGAGAAGAAGCATTATTATTGTATAGTTACACTGTCTACATACACATCTCTAAGAATGTGTAAAATTTACAATAGAGTTCATGGCTAAAGTAAGAAAGATCTATGCCAGGGGTGTGGCAGAAAAAGGGGCTAAGTGTGATCTTAAAAACCGACGTACCAGAGATAGGGATATAGCTCAGTTGGTAGAATGCTTGCCTCACATGCACAATGCCCTGGGTTCAATCCCCAGCACCACAGGAGAGAAAAAAAAAAAAAAAACCTGATATACCAGAAAAAAATTACCTTATGAAGTGCTTTAATGTACAATTGACATTCAAAATATCTGTTGATTAAATGAGAAAGGACTTCTTTAAGGAACCCAATGGACCAGTAAAGAGAGAGAGTAAAAAAGTAATTCAGTTTCATTTGGCAGCTCTATTATCATCAGACCAACTGAGCTGAAGAAACCATCTAATCCAGTAATGCCTGAACCTTTTTGCAGCTAACAAAATTAAGGGACGGGTACATAGGAGAGCCATTTGAAATATTTGTTCCTCAAAAGATTTTATACATGTCATTTTCATTTAAAAACAAAGAGGCATAAAAAGTTCACAGTTTAATGAAGGCCAAAGAACTATTAATTGTAGAGTAAAAACTAAAAGAAGCAGGAACAGGGTTATTTCTTCTTCTTCTTCTTCTTTTTTTTTTTTTTCATTCCTGGGGATGAAACCCAGGGTTTGTGCATGCTAGACAAGTGTTCTACCACTGAGCTACATCCCCAGCCCTTTTTATTTCTAGAGACCAAGTCTCCCTAAGATGTCAGGCTGGCCTTGAACTTGTGAGCTCCTGCTTCAGCTTCCTGTATTGCTGGGATTATAGGCATGTGCCACACTATCTGGCTTATTAAAATAGTTTTTTTGTTTGTTTGTTTTTGGTGTGAGGGAGTTGTTGTTTGTTTTTTGGTACTAGGAACTGAACTCAGGGGCACTCAACCATTAAGCCACATCTAGAACCCTATTTTGTATTTTATTTAGAGACAGGGTCTCACTGAGTTGCTTAGTGCCTCAGTTTTGCTGAGGCTGGCATTGAACTCATGATCCTTCTGCCTCAGCCTCCCAAGCCACTGGGATTACAGGCGTGCACCACCGTGCCTGACTTAAAATGTTTTTAATGGGAAAATTTTCAATTCTTTTAAAAACATATTGCCTATTAAGTTACTTTTTTTTCAGCTTTCTGTAACTGAACATTTTCAGTGAATGCTTTGGAAGTGCCCAATAAAAGCCTGTTGTAATTAATATTATTTATATAGGATTTTGTATAACATTTTATCATCATAGAAAATATTGTTGATCTCAATGCTAAAAGGAAGGAAATAATTTGCGATCTCATAGGAAGGGAAAGAAAGTCAGAAGCAAATGTTTTAGAATCCTAAATTTAGGATTATCTTCTGATTCTTCCTTCATCTTGGACAGTCCAATTACATAATAAAGACCACTGAACTTAACCAAAATCTATTCCTTTCCCCCACCTCTCCCAAAAACCCAACCATGTCCTAAAACAATAATTGAAATCAGCAATAAATTGTTCTTTTGTTAATGTGCTTCAATACTCAGTATGCATTCTTTCATACATATCAATAACTGTAAAAAAATTAATAAGTAAAACCAAATTAATTGTGAACTGGCTATATGAACTGTCTAATACCTATATTTAATGGATAGTTTGTTTCGTTTTAGGTTAATAAAATATATGATGTGCAAACTTATCTCTTGAAAGTTTCTCCACTCCTTTTCTTTTCACTGCTTCTGGACCTCATGTTTCTATCATTTTAAGTCTGTTAATTTGTGAATTTTCTCTACTATTTACTTTAGGACTTCCATCTGACAGGCAAGTAGGTATTGATTTTGGTTGGGTAGTTTGAGTTAAGAGTAACTAAAATTTAAAAAGTTAATAAAAGTATCCAACTTCTACCTTACTTGAAATATCTTTGTGACTTTTACAGCTTTTATAATTCTTCAGGTGAAGTAAATGAGCATGCACTGAAGAAAATATTTTCAAGTGTCAAAAAGGTATTCATGGTTTACCTTTTATTTTTGGTATTATATGCATTATTTTCAGCTCTTGAAAACAGTATTTTGACACAAATTTTAAGCAATATTTGTCTTCACAGTATCCAGTAAAGCAGATAAGAAAAGGCTTGCTCTTCCCAAAAATTCAGAGAAGTTGCTTTGAATACAAAACTAATAGTTAAAAGTATTTATCTTGTTCCCATCCTTCCCTTGACTACTCTAATTAACACTTAATACTGATTTCTTCTCTTCTATATTTCCCTATCCCAGTATGATTTATTCTAGGACTTAATCCATTTCTGTTATTTTATTTAGCTGTGGTTCCTTTTTTTTTTTTTTTTTTTTTAAATACAGGGTACAGGGTCTTGCTGTGTTTCCCAGGTTGGTCTCAAATCCTTGGGCTCAAGTGATCCTCCAGACTCAGCCTCCCAAGTAGCTGTGACTTCAGGCACTTGCCAGTACACCTAGCTTTGCAGTTAACTATTTTTATACCACAGGGACAACTTCCTATAGAGCACTTAATTTGAATTCTCCACAGCTTGCTTCAGGTTCAGTTAAAAGTTGTTAGACAGTCAAAATGGATTATTTTTCCCCAATGCAAAAATTTCTCAAGTTAATAATTTTCCCCCTTAAAGTTTGTATCTTTGACTGGAGAGGAAAAACAGAAGTATCATTCAAAAAGCATCCTTAGTTGAAAATGCTTGGGCTTTTTTCACAGTTACATTTGAGTATTTAAAAAAATGTCCCTGCAAAAATGTTTTAGGTTTAAAAAAACAGAAGCAATTTTAATTTCAGTTTAAAAGTACAAATGTCAAATTTAGTTGTTGAAGCTGTCACAGATTTCTATGAATCATGGTGATTATTTTTTCTCTTTGTTCCGATTACTAAGTTTTCAGTAAATCAATTATTTTTCTGATTAAAAAATGACTTAGTGATACTAACAACACATTTGTTTAGCATGTTACGTTTATAAAACTCGACTCAGTCATCTTGAATTTAACTTTTGGGGCTATGTGATAATCATTCCCGTTTAAATTTCAGATAGAAGCTAAGGAATCAACTAAGCTTATTTAATAAACTAAATATTCAATATAGATAACTAACTGTTTTGAGGGGAGTGACTATCCATTAAGTGAAACAATGGCATTAATATTTTTCATGTGTATTTACTAAAGATTAAGATTGCACAGGCCTGGGGTTGTGGCTCAGTGGTAAAGCACTTGCCTGGCATGTGTGAGACCCTGGGTTCCATCCTCAGCACCACATATAAATAAATAAATTATTTTAAAATAAAGATCCATTGACAACTAAAAGAAAATTAAAAAAAAAATAGATTGCAATATAGCACATGCCCTAAATAGACTAGAGTAAGTGAAGAATTATTTTTTCCCTTTAATCTACATTGATCAAAATTGTGGCCTTTTAACTGAATAGAAAATAAACTATAAGACAGTTTTCATACTTTGCAAAGGTAAATCATATAACCAAGTGAATTCTTTGTTTATCTGTGACTCAAATCTTACTATTAAGAAAGTCTTTTTAAAAGCCTGGCAAGGTGGTGCATGCCTATTATTCCAGCTACTAGGGAGACTGAGGTAGGAAGATCACAAGTGAGGCCAATTTGGGGCAACTTAGCAAGACCATGTCTTAAAACTAAAAGGACTGGGGACATGTAGCTCAGTGGTAGAACACTTGCCTACCATGTACGAAGCCCTGGGTTAAAACACTAGTATCGAAAAAACAAAGTCCATTATAAGACTCAGTTTTATTGCTAAATTATATTAAGACAGGCAATAATAATTATAATCATTAAGATATGTATTTAATTTTTTTCTGTTATTTTTTTTCAGACTGTGGTAGGTTGGTACAAATTCCGTCGACATTCAGATCAGATCATGACATTTAGAGAGAGACTGCTTCACAAAAACTTACAGAAGCATCTTTCAAGCCAAGAACTTGTTTTTCTGCTGTTAACACCAAGTATAATAACGGAAAGCTGTTCTACTCATCGGCTGGAACATGCTTTATATAAACCTCAAAAAGGGTAAATGGGGCTGGGGATGTGGCTCAAGCGGTAGCGCGCTGGCCTGGCATGCGTGCGGCCCGGGTTCGATCCTCAGCACCACATACCAACAAAGATGTTGTGTCCGCCGAGAACTAAAAAATAAATATTAAAAATTCTCTCTCTCTCTCTCTCTCTCCTCTCTCACTCTCTCTTTAAAAAAAAAAGGGGTAAATGTTAGTTGGTCATTGGCTATTTTAAGCTAATAGGGAAAAAAAACTAATATTTTTATAGTACTTTGGCAATTTATAAAGTTTTCATACAGTGTTGTATTACATCGTCACAACAACTCTCTGAAGTGATCTTACCCATCTGTTAATTACAGATGAGACAATGAAAGTCAAATAAGGAAATCAGAAACTAAGTGCAGAATGATGAATTGCTGTTATTTACTATGTGAGGTAGAAAAATAATTGTTGTAGATATTGGTTAATTAGGATATCATGTAGAACTTAAGCCTGGGTACTTGTGCAGCTTTTTTGTAACCTTCTTCAAAGAAGCAAGGTAGTTTTTGATGGTCTACCAAAACGAGTCTAACAGGAACTCCCCTTCATTCTATAAACATTTGCATTGAACATAAGAATTAGGTTAAAGAGTACCAATTAAGATAAAATTTATTGTTCATGGAAGATAGGATAAATCTCAGACTTAATACCGTAAGGTTATCTGAAATGCTTGGGACCACATTGGACTAAACATGTATCAGATTTTGAAATATTTGCAGATATCTAGGAAATGAGACTGAAGTCTAAACACAAAATTCATTTATACCTTATAATAGTCTGAAGATGATTTTATACAGTATTTTTATTGCCCCTGTGTTTTGAGTGGGACCTGAGGGGAAGTATAGAATTTCCCTTGTGGAAGGTTTCATATAGGGATTTTATATTTTGGATAAGGGATGCTCAACTCATACTGCCCGACCCACCCACACTTTTTTAAATTGCAATGCTGGAGTTTGAACCCATGGCTTCATGCATGCTAAGCAAGCACTCTATAGCAGGCTATATCCCCAGCCAAATTTTCTTTCTTCTTTTTGTGGTGATACTAGGATATTAAAGAGATTGAGTCTAGGGGTGCTATCACTAATGTACATCCTTAACCATTTTGATTTTTGTTTGTTTGTTTTTGGTACCAGGGATTAAAGCCAAGGGCACTTAACCAACTGAGCCACATTCCCCAGCCCTTTTTATTTTTTTTTTATTTTGAGGCAAGGTCTCACTAGGTTGCTTAGAACCTCACTAAGTTTTTGAGGCTGGCTTCAAACCTGAAATCCTCCTACCTCAGCTTCCAAACTGCTGGGATTATAGGTGTACACCACCACACCCAGGTCCTGTTTTTTTTTTTTTTTTTTTTTTTGAGACAGGATATTGCTAAGTGGCCAAGACGAATACTATTTATTTCACAAGATTTTCTTATACCATATTCATTTCACAGCTTTTAAAAACAGGTTGCTTTGTGTTGCTCAAATAAGTAAATTCTATCTTGGTAAACAGTAAGGAATGGGGGGGGGCAGCGGGCGCTGTTTAATCTTGTGGAGGTAAAGTAATCTATTGTGATGTATACATGCTATTTTTTCTCTTTATATTTTAAACTTATAAAATTTTATTTCATCAGACTGTTTTATAGGGTTCCTTTAGTGGTTGCCAATCTGGGCATGTCTGAACAGCTGGGTTATAAAACTGTTTCAGGTTCCTGTATGTCCACTGGTTTTAGAAGAGCAGTAAAAACACACAGGTAAGATTCCTGAACTGTTTTTCCACTAATCCTACTCTTACTTATTTTTTGAAATTAGGTTTATTACACAAACAGAAGAATAAAAATGAAAGGAAAACTGATAAAATGAATATATTACTCAAGAAAACTAGACTGTTTGGGCAGGGAAGGAGGGGTACCAGGAATTGAAACCAAGGGCACTCAGCCACTGAGCTACAACCCCAGCCCTATTTTGTAAATTTGATTTAGAAACAGGGTCTCAATGAGTTGCTTAGTGCTTCACCATTGCTGAGGCTGGCTTTGAACTCTCGATCCTCCTGTCTCAGCCTCCCAAGCCACTGGTATTACAGGCGTGCACCACCGTGCCTGGTGAAAACTAGACTGTTTTATAGTCTCCAAGTTTCATTCTATTACTTGTCTATTTACACAAGTTATGTATATTTACCAGAGGAAATTGTAATTTTTCACAGCTCTGAATTTTTTAAAGAAGATGGATCTTTAAAGGAGGTACATAAGATAAATGAAATGTATGCTTCACTACAAGAAGAATTAAAGGTAAGTTAACTAATATCGAACACTTAAAGACCACTTCAGAGTTCATATCAAATGATCACTGAAATATTTTATGGATAACCTGACTTCAGATTTATATTATATTCCTTTACTCTAGTCATAAAGACTGTGACCTTAGTAGTGAATAACAGTTTAATCTTATCCACATTATATTATGGCTATAGCCATTCATTTTGGAGATGTCACCTTCATTCCAGATTCTATGCTGAAGAAGCAGCCCTTATTTGGGACATGTTCTTGTGTCAAAAAGAAAAAAGCCAGAAGATTGGAAATTCACAACAGCCTTAAAATTTAGCTCAAAACTGCCATGCCATCACATATCAATGGCCAAGGATACATAATCCTTTTACAGGATGAACAGGGAAGCAAATATTTGGTAACAATGCAACTATCATAGCATTGCAGTCTATCTGATTATATCATGTACTTTGAGAAGTAGCATTAATATGGGAATGGAAGTACAAGAATTTATTGAGCCTGTGAAAGATAAAGGGATCAAGAAGAGCCTTCAGACTGCAATTTTGCAAAAATCTGAGAAAGAAGTGGATAGGACTACAGTTGGTTAGGTAGAACTTCAGATTACAGTGCCATTCTAAGAAAGTTCAGGTAGGCTGATGAGCAAAGTTGTTCTACAGGTATGGATTTGCACATACCATTCTAGCACCTAGCTCAGTAACTGGCTGGAAACAGCTGTGGCTTAAGCCTAATCCAAAGCTGGTGATGTCCTTAACTATGCTTCCCCCAATTGGATATCTAAGTAATATATGTCTGTGGATACCCTACTTGTCAATAGAGCACATTTAAGAGAAAAAGGGTTAGTATACTTTACATACCACTAATATTACATACTGTTTTTAATATGAGGGGGGAAAAAGCAGGAATTTTAGAAAGTAGAAACACCCAGATCTCATCATTTAACATAACTGTTTTCACTTTGCTATAGTCTCCAGTTTTTCCCCTAATGTATACACACTTTGTAGTTGACAATCATGGCAACAAAAATGTGTTCCGTAAGTTTAAAAAAAATTCCTATATCATTAAACATTTTTCATATTGCTACATATTCTTTATTTTTAATACAGTATATGTACTTTTTAAATTGTCAGATTTATCATGTAAAACATGTTTTTATACACATTGTGGAATGGAGAAATTGATCTAAATAACAAATGTATTGCCTCACATAATTATTATTTTCATGGTGAGAACACTTAGTATTCACTCCACATTTTTTAAGCACACAATGTATTGTCATTTACTATAGTCTCAAAGTTGTACAATGGATTTCTTTTTCTTTCTTTCCATTTTAGCAGTGCTGAGGATTGAATCCAGAGCCTCATGCATGCTAAGCAAGCACTTTACCACAAAGCCACATCCCCAGCCTTGTACAATAGATTTCTTGATCTTATTCATCCTACCTGCCTATGATAATTTTTTGCAATATGTCTCTGTCCCCATTTCCCTACAACCACTCCAGCCCTTGGTAATCACTTTTCTATGAAATCAACTTACTAGCTGGGCATGGTAATACATTCCTAATAATTCCAGCAACTCAGGAGGCTGAGGGAAGAATCACAAGTTTAGACCAGCCAGAGCAACTTAGCAAGACTCTATCTCAAAATGTTCTAGGGATGAAAAAAATAAAGAGGAAGAATCTTGTCATTGGTGACAACATAATCAAGCTGACTTATTTTGTTTTTCTGGTGGTACTGAGGATTGGACTCAGGTGCTCTACCACTGAGCTACATCTCCAATCTTTTTAAATTGTTTATTTTGAGATGGGGTCTCACTGAGTTGCTATTGATCTTGCCAAGTTGACCAGGCTTGCTTTGAACTTGCAGTCCTCCTGCCTCAGCCTCCTGGGTTGATGAGAATACAGGTGTGTACCACTCATTCTTTTTTTAAGGGTGAATAGTGTTCCATTATGTATATATTACCACATTTTTTTTATCCATTCATCAGTCAGTGGACATTTACATTGATTCCAGGTCTTGACTATTTGAATCATGCTGGGTAGATATCCTAAAAGTATCCACTGAAACTGGCTTAACTTTTAGCCTATAATTAGAAGTTATATTAAGTTTGATATAATATGAACATGATCTTTATAAAGTTTTGTTGTATATTGAGATATCTCAGGAAGTGGAATTATTCATACTTTTAAAATTGATGATACACAGCCACTTGCTTTTCAAAAGTATTGTCTAATAAGAATTAAAAACTTTCAGTTTCCTTTCATAACATGGAAATAGTCATTTGTCTTTTTTTCAATTGTCAGTTTCTTAATGTTAAATGTGTGCAGGAACTTTGCATTTCAAAATTACATCAGTGAATTAAATATTCCAGTTTATTTCTATTATCAAGGAAATATTTGGTATGATAAATCGATCTCTTAATGAGAAGTTAATATATCTGAAAAGCATTTTACAACCTATAAAGTACCATACAGAGTTATTATTAAAGTCCTCTAGAAAATAGCAAACTAATATAAAATTTATAGGAAGTGTACCATTGAGGGTTTTATATTACTTGTGAATCTAGACTGTTATTTCATGATTTGGTGTTTTACCTATGCTATTAAATTATTTTATTTTGCAGACTGTATGCAAAAAAGTGGAGCAAAGTGAACGAGAAGTAGAGAAATTAATAAAGGATGTAAACAGATTAAAACAAGAAATTAAAAAAAGGCAACAAGCACAGATTCAGGCAGCACGTAAGTAAAATATTAACACATCACTACTTTCCTTGCATTTCTCACTGATTGGAATTATGGATGGACCAACTGTGCTCACTGAAGGATATGTCCACTTTGGGATTAAAAGCAGTCATTTTACTAATACTCTTAAATCTTACCAAAAAAAGGAACTAGTACTATAGTAGGTATGCTGTATTTGTTGATATTAAAGCATATAACTTAAAATTTAATTTTCTCCTAGAATATTATGGCATAAAAATAGGAATTTGGGATTATACATGTCATTATTCTCACTTTGAATAATTTGATAGAATTGTTGAAATCTTTTTGACTCTTGACAAATAGCTAATTATAAAAGAACATGGAATTTTTATGGAATAAAAAATGTTGATCCTGTTGTTTTCTTTTGTTTAGGAGAGAAGAATGTCCAAGAAGACCCTCAGGAGAACATTTTGCTTTGTCAAGCTTTACAGACCTTTTTTCCAGGCAGTGAATTTCTTCATTCTTGTGTTATCTCTTTGACCAATAGGCATATTTCTAAAAGTAGGTGTAACACCAACCACCATCTGGATATGGTAGACAACCTGACCTTAATGGTAGAGTATACCCATACTCCTGAAGCTAGCCCAGCTAGTACACCACCGACTAAGCGAAAAGCTATAGACATAGAGGACAGATGGAAAATGAAGAAATCACGATTGTTAAAGAGAGAACACAAACTATCTAAGACGGGTACTGATAGTAGTAACCAAGAAAAAGCATCCACAACCAGTGGCACAGAAACAGATGAAGAGATTGAGAAAATGAAGGGTTCTGGTGAATATCCACTGTCTCCCACATTTTGATCCTTTTAACCCAAAATAAGACTTTTGATTTGGTCGAAGTGTAAAGACAAATGTTTATTATTTTTATTATATTCAGCTGTTCATAGTAATACATGGATAATGTATTTTGTTTTTACTATGTTCACCTTTTTACAGTACTACATAGATAAGTTCTACTGCATTTATTTTATAAAGTACTTCCAAAAATATCAGATGCTTTTATTTATTTATATTTTTGTGGTGCTGGAGATTGAACCCAGGGCTTTGCACATACTAGGCAAGTGCTGTACCACTGAGCTACACCCATAGCCCAAGATGTCTTTATTGTAAAATCAAAACTTTTCATCTTGCTTTCACAACTGTTGAGGGAAAGGACTTAAAAAGGCACATTCTTTTAAACTAGTATGGCTCTTAGAAATGGGAAAGAGACTATTTTTCACAACATGGGAAGAAGCATAAAGTTTATATGAAAATTTATATAATCTTTATGTCATTAACCCTTATGTAAGTCATTAAGATTTTAGTCCTTATGCAGTGATACAAAGTATATTATTAAACTGGACATGATGGTACACATGTGTAATCTTAGGTACTTGCTACTCTAAAAGCTGGAGTAGAAAGGTCCCTTGTGCACAGAAGTTAGAGGCCATCCAGGGCAACATAGCACTCATGACAGGTACGGTGGCAGTGGTGCACACCTGTAATCCCAGTAGCTTGGGAGTCTGAGGCAGGAAAATGGCAAGTTCAAAGCCAGCCTGAGCAATTTAGGCCCTAAGAAACTTAGTGAGACCCTATCTGTAAATAAAATATAATAAAAGGGCTGGGGGTATGGCTCACTGGTTAAGCACTCCTGGGTTCAATCTCTAGGACAAAAAAAAAAAAAGTGTTTATGTGCAGTTGTATTTATATGTCTTCCATCACATGAAGGCTTTACCACTGGACATCATACTGAATATACACTTTGAACTTTGTACTCCTATTGCTTTCTAGAGACATTACTAAATAGAAAAAAATATATAATCTAGTAACAGAAACTTGAATCTTCTGTGTTAACATGCATAAATTATTATGGGATGTTTATGAATCCACATCATAAATCAGGATGACTTGTGTAGATTTCTAGTGTTGTTTTAACTTAAATAACTGGTACTGTACACAGCAGGAAGACAAGAATCAGTCTGAACCTTATTTGCAACACTGGAGTAAGAGAAGATGATTGGCAGTAGATTTATGCATTTGTCATCCCTTTATGTAAAGAATACTATCAGTTTAAGGATAGATTCATCCAGGAATAAATGTTTTGTCTTTCTGAGACAGCCCAGTGTACATCTCTGCAAAGAGAAGAGCCGCCCTCCTAACCAGGCACACTTACATTTGGTAATTAGAAAATGGTTTCAAGCATTTATAACTTCATGGGATCCAAACATTACATAAGAACTACACTTTGCTGCACCCATTTCCCTAAAGTCATCCCATCTGTAACACAGAATCTGACCCAAAGTAGTATTCCAACACATGCCATCCCTCCCATATTTCCTATTCCTATTAGTGGTTCATTACTTTATGAATGAACTACTGGGGATATAAGTGACAATCAGACAGGACCACTTTTATTCAAGGTACATGCCATTTAATGAGTATTAACATTTTAAGTAAGCAACCTATTCTGTGAATAGTCATATAAAGGAGATGCTTCACTCCTGATCTCTTGAAACACTTTTCTTCGCAAAGGTTAGTTTGAGGTCAATTTATTATAAAATAAGTTTATTGTTAATAACGTTATATCATTTATTCCCGATATTTGATGTTACAAACTTTAGGGTCTTTGAGATATGCAGGATCCTTGTATGTAACTGGCATAAACCCTGTAAAGAGATATTAAAGTTCTTCACAAAAAATAATGAGCAAACTTTTTACTAATTCAGTTGTTCAAGGCACACTTACCCATTATTTGAGCTCTCTTAATAGCTTTTGTAATTTCTTTCTGTTTCTTCCCACAAAGACCTACAAAAATTTTAAAAGTGCTGTTTTATTCATAAAAATGCCAGTAGTCAAACTATAACAACTTTTAAGTCAAAGGTCAGATTTTCTTTTTTTTTTTTTCTGTAAAGGACCAGAATATTAATATTTTGGCCTTTGGGACTACAGTCTCCATTCACAATTACTCTACTCTGCTGTTGTAACTACAAAGCAACCATGTGGCACTATGTAAATAAAACTACAAAAACAAGAGGCAGATTGGATCTAGTCTATCTATGGACAGTCTGCGATCAACAAGTTTTAGTTTAGAATGTCTGAAGTATAATTCACAACAAAAGGTACAATTTTTTAAGCCCAAGTTTTTCACATGGCCAGTGTATAGTTAACCCTGAGGACAACAGAGTGTTTTCCCTTAAGTACCTAAATCCAGTGTGGTCTAACAATGTAGTATCTGGTCTAATAGTGATTTATAACATGATCTAAAAATTTGCCAGTTTTCTTAAGTGACAGAGATAGATATAATTCTTACTTAAATGGTTATGATTAAAAAATAAATACCTGTTATATGTCTTCCATAAATGCATCCAGTAAACGGAGAAATAAATTGGGACAGAAGCTGTGTTTGGAGTTTTATGTGGATGGAAAAAAATTTATATTAATACATTGGTTATTCAACCCTGAATGTAAATTTCAAGGAAAAAAAAATCCATATACATGACTTTCAAGTAACATAAAGATCTAATAAGTTTTAGAGAAATTTTAATTGAGATACTATCATATTAACAAGTCATCTTTCTAAATACTGAAAGTTAACATCTAATCCAGCATATCAAAAAGTATATATAGCAATAACATATTAATTAGCATATTCAGCCAATGCTAAAGTGGTATTGATAAACCACAGATATCCTTCTAAAATACTGCGCTTATAACAAGTTACCAAAACATTTCATCTATCATTATAAGCTATTACATACTCATGAAGATAAATTATCAGACTGAACTGGGATCTTCAAGAGGTACACACATTGGGCCATTTTCTACAACTTATGTTCTATTAACTTAAATACTGTTCACATTGTAGGTGCCAGACAGTGTTCTTAGCACTTTGCATAATCTTCCTCCTATACTGTATTCTAATAATTTTTTCCCTCAACGACGGTTACAATTTATATTACCATCAGTACACTTAACTCCAGCACCATTCACTCCCCCTAAATTTGACGCTTCTAATTTACTGAGAGTAAACAAGACACAGCATTTGAAGCAGTGACAGGGATAGTGAGGTACAAATTTCAGCTTCACCAGAGGAACTTTCTTCCAAAGTATTTACACCTACCAAATGAGAATCACTGCTATGAAGAGCTATATTATCCAAACCTTTGGAGCATAGAAAATAGAGAAATTCTGAGCTAAAATAATAGTAAATAATTGAAGTTGAATAAAGATACCTTACAAATATAATTATAACCAGATTTGAAATTATGAAGTTACTAAAATAGTTGCCTCTACATAAAACCTGCTATAAAACTGATTAATAACAAAAGTGCAAAAATCTAAAAATTAAGTATCAGAATAAAACCAGATCTCACCTGTACATTTTTATAATCTACACGTTTCTCACACAAGATACATTTCTTAAGAGGCTCCTTATAAGGATTTTCCATTGGAACAGGCTAGGATAAAGAAAGAGAAATCTCATGACATAATGTGATCTGGATTTGAAAAAATATATTAAAGTTAACAAATGTAAATCCATTCAAAGGCACTCAGTACATTTCTTCCTGTGTACATATTTTGCACAAGCACTTTATTTTGTGTCAATTTGGCTTAAGAAGGAATTAACTCATGAAGATTCTGGAATAAAATAAACTTTTTTAAGAAAAGAGTTTATAGGAGAAACAATGCAAGTCTGGTAAAAAAGAAAGTGATTTTATGTTCAAATGCTTTTTTCCAATTATAGATGTTTAAACATTTTTAATTTAAATTCAATAAACTTCTTTAAGATAAACTTAAAGCAGAATAGATGGCATGCTATTCCTATGTTAATATAATCATTAAATAGTTTATTCATCCCCTTATTATGCTTTATCTATAGCCCCAAACTGTTCTATAAGTTAGTGTTAGCCTTTTTGACTTCTCTGTCTTCACTACTATCTCTGATGCTTCTGTTACGCCTTCCTCCTACTGTCACAATGTTTTGTCTCCAGTATGGAGGTGCTTAATCTAGAAATGTTTTTGGAGTCTACAATCCCCTGAAATTGTATGCAAAATTTTAAATGAATATGACCATGTCCCTTTTTCTGTAGAGAGGATCTATATCTTTCATTAGTCTCAGTGGGGTATATGGCCTAAAAAGGGAGTAAACTTCCTTTATTCTCTTAAAGTATGGTGTGTGGATTAAATGACCAAGATAGATGCACAGAGGGAATAGATAAGTGCTTTTCTTTTTTCCCCATTTCTCAAACTTTCTTAGTCTGATTTATATTCAGCTCACATATAAAGACTATATTCCTTCTCAACACTGGCTAAGTGCTTTGTATGGGATGATTAGTGTCAAACAAATTACCTTTGCATGTAGTAAGGAAACCTATGCTGCCCAAGTCCATGATAGTACTTCAAACCCAATAAAAATATAGGTTAGAGGAAACTATTAAATGTTCTGGTGTAAAACTTTAATTTTGATGCCACATTTATTAAGGCAGAATACCAAACGATTGAAATAAAGGTAGGACAATCCCTTTGTTCAATTATACACAATTATTCTATTCACCTAAACTACCTTTTGAAATTCCCAAATAACATAATCTTACGTTTAATATTTAGGAAGAAAATATAGCAAGAAGCTATGCTTCTAACAAGAGTCTAGGAATTCTCTCTTTTCGAAACTCACCTAGGAAACTATAATCAATGAGTTATAAGTTCCAAACTCAGAGTAATGATAATTATATTATGTTATCCTACAGCTGAACTCCAATTAGTTATAAAGTGCTTTACTAACATAAAGAAAAAAATTCTTACCAGGTCCTCATTGCTGGTTCCCTGTTTATATTGTGAACAACCTCTTCTCCACAGCACTGCAATTAAACAGAAACAGTAATAAGCAGTTCCTTTTGTTAGCTGAGTAGCTAATAAGGATTTTTGTTTTAGCTCAGCGCAGTGAGTGTCTGTAATCCCAGTTACTATAGAGCCTGCGGCAGGAGACTCAAAAGTTCAAGGCCAGTCTGGGCAACTTGGACCTTGTGGCAAAATAAAATTTCAAAAGGATTGGACAAGTACTTCAGTGACAGGATGCTTGCCTAGCTTGAGGGAGGTCCTGGGTTGACCTCCAGTATCACACACACCAAAAAGATGTATAGAGGTAAGACTAATCAAGGGGCAAAACATAAAGGTTTTATAGTCTTTAAATTTGGGTCAGAATAAGACATAAAACGTGATTCCCAGGGCTTTGAGGATAGGGCATATATTTTCCTCCATAAAACCTTTCACCTGCTGTCTTCCTGACATTTACTCTTTTATTCCACAGTTATAGACAGATTTTAACACTAATACATATAGAAACAAAAGAAAGGCACTGTTATACCAAAGGGAAAATGAAAAATGGATTCTTTCCAGAGAGTAATTATTGATAGCGAAGATAAACTTGCATAAATTATAGATTCGAGGACCTATGTCACAATTCCGCTCTGATCTGGGACCTTAGACCTCTGAAGTTCGTTGTTGGGGGACTGTGGAAATGTTCCTTTCTCCCCAAGTTTATACGTAAAATCTTAGGCAGGGCCCTCCCCTCGGTACAGAGGATTGAACCCTGGGGCTCTCTACTACTGGACTAGATCCCCACTTTTTTTTTTTAAAGCCAAGGTCTCGCTAAGTTAAGGAGACTGGACTTATTTGTGATCCTCCTGCCTTAGCTCCCTGAGTAAATGATTACAGGCCTGCACCACCGAGCTAGCGCCCTTTTTACAGAATTATTCCACCCATCACTTTCCTTTTATGTTCAAAAATTTTTAAGGAGTTGACTTAGCATCTCACGGCCCCATCAGTTCTAAAGCAGCAGTCGTGGACATTACTGATTCCCATCCATTTCAGAAAAACGTTATCGCCTAGAAATCAGCTTCGTTTTGTTAACAGTGATGAGTCCACCGACCAATAGGGCCAAAGCAATGGCTATGGTGCTACAATGGAGGCTTTACCCGAGCGAGTTCCGGGATTTGGGAGGCAGACTGTAGCCGTTATCCAATGTGTCAACTTCTTCCCTAAAGTACCGCAAGAAGCAATCACAGCTGCCATGGTTCCTCGTTATTCCTTTTCCTTTCCTTTTTCCAAGTCTTCCAAATAGGTCCCTTCCGCTAATCTTCCCTGTGGACTCGAGGACTTCATTCTAAGGTTCCGTAGGCGAACGCGGAAAAAAACGCGAAAGGGGGTTTCTTAGTGCGCCTGCGCAGCAGGTTTTGAATCCCGCCCTCACCGCGCCAGAATCAAGTGACATTTGCGATTGGACCGAGAGGGCGGACGTCTAGTTTATCTTCCAGGTTCCGGTCCGAGAGCCCTGGGAATAAGTTTAAGGTCTTTACGAAAGGTGGATGGAGACGCCAGCACTTTCTCCCTGTATCCACCTCCGCTCAGCCCTCCTTTCGAGGTTGGCGGCTGAGTCACTGTGGACAAAGTCGGGGCAGCGTTTTCGGACCCAGTCATGGAGGAAGGTTGTTCCCGCATCCGCCGGCGGGTGTCGGTCCGCAAAAGGAACCGCCCTAGCCTAGCAAGCACTTCTGCCATCCCCTCGGCGGCCCAGCTCCAGTCCCGCGATGAGCAGGAAGAAAAGGAGGAGGAGATGGTAGCCAGGAGCCGGCGGCGGAAAACCGTGGGCGTGCAACCTGTTGAGGTACAGCCCCATCAGCTCTCAAATTCCCCCGACGGCCTTGTCCTCCTTATGACCTTTGGGGCGCTGATGCAAACCTGAGCCTCCTACTTGGCTTGCCCACCAGGGGTGAGAAACCAGATATAGAGGACGTGAAACTGCCAAATTGAGGCAGTTTCTTCCCAAGTGCAGACAATTAACCAGTTAGATAAAATACCTTTCCTTTCCTCCCTCATTTTTGTTACTGCTGTTGTAACAATACTGAGGTATTGCCCAGTTATCCCCACTTCTATATAGACATGAAACGTAGATACAAAAATTTTACATCCAGCAATTAAGTGACATAGAACTGAGACGCAAACCCAGACTTCGAAATTCCTACTGCCCCTACTTTACTAATAAAAGCTGTTTATTGAAGACCCATTACGCCCTAGTTACTGTGTTAAACAAGCTACATTATCTAGATTTTACAACAGTAATCAGACCCTAAGAAATTGAGAAACTACTTTCTTACTTCAAATTCTGTGTCGCTACACTCTTGCTGTCTCAAAGTGTCTCTTCTGTTCAGTAGAGCTCCCCAAGTCAGTGTACACGCATTCTGTATCAATTCCAAATTCAACAGAATTTCTCTGTAGTATATTGTGGTACAACTTTTTGTTATAGGCCAGTCACTGCCTCAGAGCCAGGGATTGGAAGGGAGAGATGCAATTCCCAGAGGCTGTCATTCTTGCAGTTGTTTAACAATTTAGCAAAGGTTTAAGCATTAGAATCCTAGGGGCATTAGAGAGCCTGTGACAGGCCATGGGTTCAATCCCCACCACCAAAAACCAAAGAAGTAGCCCAGTGTTGCTTCCAGGAGCACTTCTCTGGGCCTCCATGTTTTTCATCTGTAAAATGGTAATAATCATATCTATTTATAGGGTGGCTTACAGGACTTAAATATAATTATGTACTTGATACAGCCCTAGGCTGAAGATTTTATTATTTGCTTTAGTAATGAATTTTATTTCATTCCACATTTTTTAAAATTCATTTTTTAGTTGTAATTTGACACAATACTTTGATTTTATTTATTTTTATGTGGTGCTGGGGATCAAACGCAGAGCCTCACACATGGTAGGCAAGCACTGTACTGCTAAGCCACAACCCCAGCCTTCATTCCACATTTTTTATTTATGCATTTTGGTTGTATTTAAGATGGGATTTGTTGTTGCACATTCATACATGCACACAATATAACAGTATGATTTGGCCAATATCACTTCCCAACACTTTCCCACTCCCTCTTTACTTCCCACTCCTTAGGCCCTTTCCTCTATTGATCTTCCTTTGATTTTCATGAAATTCCCCCACCCTACCCGGCCTTGTTTTCCTTTTTCCTCTGTAGTGAAACTTCTTTCAGTCATGAATCTGGAATTGCCTGTAAGTATTTTTGTTTTCTTTCCAGCATAATGACAGTGAAGAGGACATGTTTGGTGGCTATGATAGCTTTACTGAAAACTCCTTTTTAGCTCAAGTTGATGATTTGGAACAGAAATACATACAACTTTCTGAACAAAGGAAGCATGCTACAGACTTTGCCACTGAAGATTTTTGTTCAGAAAGCATAAAAAACAAACTCAGTGTTACTACTGTAAGCAACTTTACTGAATACAAAAGTGATGAGCACACGGAGAACCAGACTGAGCATGAAGATGTCCCTGTTGAACCTGGAACTGATGTTTTGTATGATTTGCCTTCTTCTCAGGTTTTATACTTTGAAAATTTGCAGAACTCTTCAAATGATTTGGGTGATCAGTTGACTGAAAAGAGGGATGGGAGTTCATCCTTTCCCAATACTGTGAATGAAGAATTGTCCCATAATTGCATAAAGCAACAACAGCAAAATGATGGATCCTCTTCTAAAGTCAGAAGTAATTCAGATACAAGTAGGAGAAAAAGTATTAAAGATCATCTAAAAAGTGCCATGACTGGAAATGCAAAGGCCCAAACACCAATATTTTCTAGGAGTAAACAGCTCAAAGAGACTCTCCTATCTGAAGAAATTAATGTTGCTAAGAAAACAATTGAGTCTTCATCAGATGATCTTGGTCCTTTTTACTCATTGCCCAGCAAAGTGAGAGACCTTTATGTTCAGTTCAAAGGAATTGAAAAATTATATGGTAATGCTTTTTTTCTGGAATAAAAACAAAATTCTCCATTATCATAAAATTAGTGTAAATCAATAGAAGCAAATGCTTCCATGATTGTATTTCTTATTTTGAAAGTCCAGTATTATTTGTCTCAACCTTCCATCCCTATCCTGTCACCTTGAACCTCTTTTCTTCCCTTCATACTCAAACATTTCTCAAACCGTTTTTTGTGCTTATTTTATTTTTTCTTATTTTGAATATTTCTTTGGCCTACTCCAATTCTGAGTTCTGTACTCTTGCCTGAGAAATGATGATTATGGTATCGAAACTCAATGGTAATTCCAATATTTAACCTACCTGACTTCTTGGTAGCTTACCTGCAGATATTGACCACACTGTTCTAGAAATTTTTTTTTTTTGACACCCTGTTTCTGTTTTTTCTTTGATTATCTAGCTGTACACAGTTTTCTTAGCTGGCATTAGCTAGCTTTGTTTTCTCTACCAAATTTAGTTGAAATTTCTTTGAACATTCTCATGTCTTGAATGAAGAAGTTAATAATCCTATTGATTAAAATTAAGCATGTTAAAAGATAGTGGCATTAATATTTAAGTGAAAAAAAAACATTGTAGCAGAGTAATAATGTACTTTATGTTTTTTAAAAAATCTGGGTCCTTTCATATCTTTTCAATGCATCATTTTAAACAAAGAAGGGATGGTTGCTGCCGTACTGAGAGATCAATTCATCAACCTATCACTGTATTAGTATTTCTGGAACTCCTGTTGGGATCTTTGGAGCTGTATGAAAATGTGGGTTTTCAAGGAGAAGACAATCATGTTGGAGAAGCAGGACTACAGGAAATAAAGTCTCTACAAGAGTAATATAATCATTGTAAATATTTGGGACTCACTAAACAAAACAACAAATAATTTTTAACACTGTTATTCAGACATAACTATTTTAAATAGCTTTGTAAATATCCTATAAACTATTCCTTTAATTCTTAAAAAACTATTTTTAAGCCCAACTTATGAATATTTTTTTTTCAAATATTTGCACATGCTTTGGTTCATGTTCAACACATTTATGATCTGCTTTAACTATATAGTGAACATATAAAAATTGTCCACATATGGATTTCCCTTTTTTTTTTTATCTATTTATTTGGTACCAGGACCTCACACATGATCACTTTACTACTGTACTACACCCACAGCTTTTTAATTTTATTTTGAGACAGTCTTGCTAAATTGCCAGGTTGCCCTTGAACTTTTGCTCTTCCTCCCTCAGCCTCCCAAGTAGCAGGGATTGCAGATGTGCACCACCACACATGGCTTGTACTTTTATTTCTGATACTGTTAGATTACTTTCCAAAAAGATTGTAGTAGTTTATGTTCTCACAAACTATACAGAAGAACACCTGTTCTTACTCTATAGTCAGTTCTAGATTTCACAAGCATGGGACATTTATTTTTTCTTTTTTTTTTTTTTTTTTGGATAATTTGTTTACTTTGCCAACCTATCAGATTATAGTTGAGCATATTTTATGTATTTATTGGCCACTTGCAATACTTTCTGTTATGAAATATGTCATTTGCTTTTCTTCTGATAAAATACTAATGCATATTTTTGAAGATTTTTAATGCTCTCCCTTGTCAAATTACTCTGGAGTAACTATTATAGTTTTCACATCATATCTTGAATCTGATCTGTTTTCATGAATCCCATCTTTGCAAATTGTGGGAATTGACTGCCAGGTAGTAATCTTTACCTTTTATTATTTAAATAATTCTGTCAGTTTAAAGTAGTTTCCATTCCATATGAAGTTCAAGTCCCCAAGTTTGTGCAGAATCTCATAGGGTTTTTTTGTTTGTTTTTGTTTTTTTGTTGTTGTTTTGGTTTGGGTTTTTTTTGTTTTGTTTTTTGTTGTTTTTGGTTTGGTTTTGCTTTGCTTTATTTCTCCTCCTCCTTCTGTTTCTCTTTAAAATGGCTTTTAGGTAAACGAGGAAGGTAAGCTTACATATTCTGCTTACAGGATGTAAAAGGAAGAAATTTAAAGTCCCACAGGTCCTTTCACTGTCCTTTTGATCCTCTGATGTTCTAAATGACATGTCCTTGTCCACCGGGCTGCCCTGTTAGAATCTTACAACAAATCTCCAGCTGGTGGTGAGGTAAAGTAGTTATTCACACTGTTAAGTAGGCCTGAACTAAATTCTTACTGGCTGTCCACATTGCACATTTGGGATTTTTGACATTTAACATAGATTATAACTGCATTTGCTTCTAGGAGAAGATTGCCACAAGATGAAGGAGCTGATTTTTACCTTCTTGGAAAACTTCCTTGAGATTAACAATAAGAAAAGAGGAAATAA